AGAGGGAAAAATTATTCTGTGTTCTTTCCTGAATATTAAAAGATAAATTAAAAGTATTTAACTTAAAAACAGAATAAAACAAATTGTTCAGTTTTGTCAGTTTGGTGAAATTCATTAAAATGATTTAAATTAAGTTTATTAACTTTATTGTCTTTAAGATACAGTTTCAGTTACTGTATCAGCACACTGAATATATTCATAATAATAATAATAATAATGTTTATCTCTAACATTGTTGTTGTTGTTGTTGTTGTTATTGTGCATTCATGGTGAGCCGACTCTCTCTCTCAGTGTGAGGGAGTGTCTCTCGCCCTCTGTGCTGTAATACCTCAGGGAGCTCCAGCAGAGGCCTCCACCTCCCCACTGCTGCTCCTCTGGGACTCCACACCTCCTCCTCCTCCTCCTCCTCTTCCTCTCTGTTGTCTCCTCTATCAGCTGATCACCCTCAGTTCATTCACACTCTGAGACTGTCATTACTTTCTCTTCCTTTATTTTCCTCGTTTCCTCCCTCTCTCCCGTTCCTCCCTCTCTCCCGTTCCTCCCTCTCTCCCCCTTCCTTTATCATTCCCTGTTTTATTTTACTTTCCTTTTTTTTCTTGTTTCCATCCTTTTGCCTCCTTAATTTCCTCCTTTCCTCTTTTACTTCCCCTTCTTTCCTTGTTTCCTCATCTTCCTCTGACCCACTCCCTCCTGTGAGTTTGTTTGTATTTATCTGTTTATTGTTGTTATTGTTATTAACAGCCGTCGCCGTGGCGACCTGCTGTGCTGCAGGCGCTCAGATCGGACGCTTCCTCCTGTTGGCTGATGGGAAAACAGCCCCGGGGCAGGGTGTGTGTGTGTGTGTGTGTGTGTGTGTGTGTGTGTGTGTGTGTGTGTGTTCTGATCTGCAGTGATGAAGGCTTCCTGCTGACTCTTGTTCTTCTTCTTGTTCTTGGTTAAAACATTCATCCCTTCATCTCTCTACTGGCGGCCATTTTGGCTGAGTGTGATTCAGAATGAAATCTGATTGGTTGCAGGTGTGAGACACCTTTATGTTTTATTTCAGAAGATTTTTCGTTACAAAATTTCAGTGGATAAAAGTATTCAAATATGACCAACGTTCAATGTAACAGGCGGTGTGTAACAGGCGGTGTGTAACAGGCGGTGTGTAACAGACGGTGTGTAACAGGCGGTGTGTAACAGGCGGTGTGTAACAGGCGGTGTGTAACAGGCGGTCTGTAACAGACGGTGTGTAACAGGCGGTGTGTAACAGGCGGTGTGTAACAGACGGTGTGTAACAGGCGGTGTGTAACAGGCGGTGTGTAACAGGCGGTGTGTAACAGACGGTGTGTAACAGGCTGTGTGTAACAGGCGGTGTGTAACAGACGGTGTGTAACAGGCGGTGTGTAACAGACGGTGTGTAACAGGCTGTGTGTAACAGGCGGTGTGTAACAGACGGTGTGTAACAGACGGTGTGTAACAGACGGTGTGTAACAGACGGTGTGTAACAGGCTGTGTGTAACAGGCGGTCTGTAACAGACGGTGTGTAACAGGCGGTGTGTAACAGGCGGTGTGTAACAGGCGGTGTGTAACAGGCGGTCTGTAACAGGCGGTGTGTAACAGGCGGTGTGTAACCGGCTTTCAGACACACTTTCTCTGATTGGTGGGCGTGTCTGAGGTGTTACCCAATCAGCAGAGACGTGTATGTAAACACGTGTTCATGAGATTGTCTACATCATTGTCTAGAGTCATATTGAAGAAACATTCTCAGTTTCTATAAAGTGAATATTTGTGGTTGAATGCGTCCACGTATGAAGGCTGAGTCCTTCCTACAGTGGCCCGGTTCGATTCCAGCCTGCTACCAGCTCTCACTATCAAATAAAGGCAACAAAAAACACTAAAGTCATTTAATAAACGTGAATATTGGCTGTTGTTCTTGAGGATCGTCTTTACAGTCGGACAGAAAACGACTTTTTAAGAGTCGAAGTATCCAATTTAAATAACTTTAAACTTTAAAGTGTGCAGATTCACAGCAGAATAACAAATGAACTGTCTCTCTCTCTGTCTGTCTGTCTGTCTGTCTGTCAGGAGGTGCTGTTGAAGCGAGCAGCCGACCTGGTGGAGGCTCTGTACGGGATGCCGCACAACAACCAGGTGAGTCTGCAGCTTCTGTCTGACCTTTGACCTCCGCTGCATATAAACAGCCGACCACCTTTAGCTCTTTAAATAACGAGTCTGTTTGAACTTTAATTCACTTTAATTCACTTTAATTACACAAAGAAATAATTTAAAACTTTCATTCACCAAAATCTGAGTTTATACCTTTTAATTAGTTTGTTTCCCCAAATGACTCAATTAACCCTCCTTAGTGCTCTCCTTTACTCCTTCTGTCCTTCACTCCCTCACTCCTTCCCTCCTTCACTCCCTCATTCCTTCACTCCTTTACTCCTTCTGTCCTTCACTCCCTCACTCCTTTACTCCTTCTGTCCTTCACTCCCTCACTCCTTCACTCCTTCTGTCCTTAACTCCTGCTGTCCTTCACTCCCTCCCTCCCTCCCTCCCTCAGTGTGTGATGGTGGTTTACCTGCAGGGCTCTTACAACCAGTTATTTAACAGATGCTTCAGTTCTTAAATTAAACTTATTAAACAGAACCAGGACACGGTGCGTTCACTGACTCACCACTAAAAACATTCTCACTGTATCAAAAACGGGTTTTTATGTTTCCGTTCATAAGCTTTGCTTTGAGCAGATTGGTTTGATATATACAAACCTTAATCTAATCTTTTAATCTAATTTTCAGGAGAGACCTGAATGCATCGTCTATAAAAACATAAAACAAACACTTTAAAATGTACAATATTGATTATGATAATTATAACAGAGCCGTAATAAAAACACTGTAAGTTCAATAATAGGTCATTTAAAACTAACTCATTGGAAGTACAAAAACAATTTAGGCTCTTTAGCGTTAAAGCTGCAACAAGTGATCGATTAGTTATCAACTATTAAATTAATCAGAAGTTATTTTGATAATTGATTAATAATTTTCAGTCATTTGTGACATTTTATGGACCAAACAACTAATCGATCGATTAATAAACCCTCGCTTTACACTCATAAAAGCAACAAATGGGGGCTCGTCCAGGATCCAACCGCATGTAATAGGTTACTCCTCAAGGTTTTGGCAGCGTTCTGCTTTTTTTGGTTTTCTAGTAGATTTTGATAATCGATTAATAGTTTAAATAAATTTTTCAAGAAAGATTATCTGATTGTGATATTTGCTGGTTTCTTTCATAAAGTAAACAACAAATATTATATAATATTTATACAGTAAACTGAATATCTTTGGACATTTTCCTCAGATCTTATGGACAAAACAACTAATCCATTAATGGAAGAGTTTATGAAAAACTACAACTTATCACTTTATGCAAAAGGTATGAATAAATGGGGGCTCGTCCGGGACCAATTTTTGGTTTTGGTAGCTTTCTGCTTTTCTAGTGTTGATTCTGATAATTAATCCTTTTCAGTCATTTTTATAGAAAAATAAAACAATTCTCAGATTTAAAAAAAAGAAATAAAAGAAATAATTGAATTTATTTTATAATAAAATTAAAATAGTGATCTGCAGCTGCACTTTCTGATTTGCTACACCAGTGCTTATAAAGTGTCATCCATCTTTGATCACATACCTCTTTCCCCCCCGCAGGAGATCATCCTGAAGCGAGCGGCCGACCTCACCGAGGCGCTCTACAGCGTCCCCCGCAGTCACAACCAGCTGCCGTCTCTCACCGGCTCGGCCGCTCACTCGGGGATGATGGGCGTGAACTCGTTCAGCAGTCAGCTCGCCGTCAACATCTCCGAGGCTTCGCAGGCTGACCAGGGTGAGGGCTCGCTCCTACCCACAATCCTCTGGGGGGGAGGGAGCGGGGTGCTTTGGGGGTTATAGACACTGTGAGTTGTGTTTGCTTCCACAAATAAAAAGTCTCTGTTTATGTAACGTTACTGCGCGTCTTCTTGTACTGTTAAAGCTAGCATCAGCTAGCTAGCAGCTACGTTACGAGTCAGGCTAACGACAATTAAACATCCAGATACATTTCTGAGCTGGAAGCTGTGGGTGGAGCTTACTGATCACTTTAATGACGACGATTTTACTTCCTGGGCAAAAATATGCACAATGACTCGTTAACGTTAGCTAATAGCTAGCTAGCTGTTCACAGTCTGGAACATCCAGCCGTTTAATTTCTGGTTTATCCAGATTGTGTTGTTGCATTTAGTAATTTTCACCTGTAAATTAATATAAATAAACCCAATCTGGTTCAGGACTTAATGTATGATGTATTTTATGAAAATGGTACCAGAACCGAACATTTCTTTACGATTCCCAGCCCAGTTTTTGGGCCTCGAGCTGCAGAAGTTTGGGAAGCGCCGCTGTTGTGAGGATTCGGTGCAGCAGGTCGGTGAACAAACAAACTGCAGTGTGTGTTGAAGGATCAGTGATGGGGTTTTAATAGTTTTTGTGGCACAGAGGAAGAAGATGAATCAGGCTGAGATACATTCACTGCTGTTGGCCAGAAGCAGTCGTTCTGCTTCTGTCACGGACGCTCAGGAAAACATGCAGCGAGCAGCTTGTGAACACGCGTCGACAGGAAGCAGATAGAGCTGCTTTTACTCCCCGGACACCCTCCCTCCTCCCTCCCTCCCTCCACTAAACCATCGTCTGCTTTTCACATCGGCCCGGCGGCGAACACCTTACAGGAATCCATGAGGTCATGGGAAACGAGGCTGCAGGATTCATAAGTCGGTAGTTTATGTGCACGGAGCTCTCCAGTCGGAAACATTACACCGAGGATCTGACCGCCGTTATGAAGTATGAAACGGGCTCTCTGTGCCCCTCGCAATTATCTGCCGTGATTAAAACATTAATAAAAACAGCGGCTCCCGAGCCCAGGCCTTATCAGCCGGACGAGGAGAGTAATTTACGGCGCTAATTCAGAGCAGCTCGCCCTGCTCAGCGTCATGTCGTCCTCCTGGAAGATGGACGGCGGTTTTTCTGCTTCTTCTGGAGTTCGTCTTCATTCCTCTGCTACAGTTTGACAGCTGATGAGTGGAGGAAGAAGAGGAGAGTCTGACACCGCTAAAACATTCATTTTACTTTATATACTTTATTTTGAAAGTTTACTGGTAGAAAAATAAAGTAAATATGTAAAAAACTAAACAAAATAACCAATAAATATTTAATAATTTAAAAACAGCACCAAATGTAAAGCAAACACAACTAGACTTTAATTAAACTGTAGCTAACAGCGCCACCAGTGGGCGTTCAGTGAACTGCAGTCAGCGTCCTGTTGCTCTGTACTCAGTCTGTAGACGCGAGCATCATCCATCATAAGACTAGTAGAAAGCTATCGTTAGCTTTGTACCGCTCCATAATTTATTGTCGACTAAAATCAGCACTGTTTGTCAGAATACATGAGTTAGCATCATGAATCACATTAGCTGGGGAAGCTAACGTTAGCCAACTAAGATAGTATTTTGGAACCATTTTGCCTAAAAAACAAGATGCACTGACGTCACTGGATAGAGAGAAACACAAATATAAAACCGCTCCAGTAACGAAGCAGAAACAATAATCATATATTTACGTATCAGAGGAAAACTCTTCAGCTAGTGTTTTGCTAACATTCGGGCTGTGTCTCATACCTCCGTCAGTACACTGCTAATGTGCACCGACCACTTCCTGCCGTAGTGCCACTGTCGATGGTTAGTATTGTCCCAAAAGGAACACTGATGTTAGAACACTTACCGGAAATGACGAGCGGGACCAACGCGACCAACGTGAACGCGATTTTCCAGCCCGCCAAAAATATATGCCGGCTTCTGTTTACAAACATTTTTCTGCACTAGACGACAGTAAAACGTTTTTATTACCGCTGTTACTTACTTTAATACGATTGAGTTCACATTTATTTCTCGTCCCAATGGTCCCTCCCCTTCCGCTTTGTAGTCAAGATGGCGTCCGTTCAGTGCGAGTAGGGTCCATCATTACGCACTGAATTGTTTGACCGTTTTTAGGGGTCATCCGGGTTCTTTCAGTGCACTGACTGTTTGTGTTATCTACACTATACACTTAAAACTAAATGTTTGAAGTGTGCAATGAGACACAGCCTAGCTCTCAGATGTTAGCTAATAGCTATATATGAGAGTTTGGGTATAGAGCTAACTAGCTGACTTCTAATTTATATCATTAGTAAGTTGGTGTTTGGCAAACATTAGCTTTCAGATGTAAATAGCTAACATTAGCTAACTAGCTAGATAGAGTCATCAGTGAGGCCTGGTGGTAAATTCAGAGCCACGTGTCGCTTTAAGCTAACTGAAGCTGTTGTATCAGGAGCCAATATCAGATCAATATCAGATCAATATCAGATCAATAACGAGTGAACCATGTGAAGTAGGGATGTCTGATATTATCGGCCGATATTCACTAATAAATTTAATATCGGGAATTATCGGTACCGGGTTTTTATAACCGATGTTTGTTCTGGAGGCTTCAGCATTTCTGAGCCTGCATGAACGCAGCATGGGACGTTTACCGGCGCGCGCTAGATGACGAATAATAACAACAACAACAACAACAACAACAACTACACTAGACTGGTTGGTTGCTAACTGTGGCTAACAAGCAAACAATTTAAAGCTGAATGATTTTAATATTAACTCAAAACACAAAACAGTGTTTACATTTGGAAAGCCATGTTGTATTTATGTATGCATCCAGTGGGGCATCACAATACAATGAGTCACAGTGTGTTAATTCCACAACAGGAGATATGTTGTTACAGTTTTGGTGTAAGAAGCCTGCAGATATCGGTATCGGGTGATATCGGTATCGGATATTGAGAGTTGGACAATATCGGAATATCGGATATTGGCAGAAAACCCGATATCGAGCATCCCTACTGTGAAGTCTTCTGCAGTGGAGCAGAGGAGCAGTTACTGTTGAACAAACTGCGGGAACTCGGCCGTTAATCAGCCGCTCACAGTGCAACGTGCCTCTGCAGCGAGCACATGTTTCCATTCGAGCCGTCAGTGTGAGGTCGAAGGATGTGATCTGCTTCCCACGCTGCTGTGGACGAGGACGGCGAGGACGGCGAGGACGCACCAACACAAACAGTTCCCGTTTGTTAAAGAACGTCTCTCTTTGTTAGAGAGCACTCAGTGCGACGCGCTCCTCTGCTCCTCCACATGTGTTTCCCATCGCCGCCTCTCCTCGCCCTCGTCCCCGGGCAGCGCTCCATCAGCCGCTCCTGCTGGGAATTGCGTTGGCCCGAACCAGGAAGTGGGGGAAAGTGGACGAGGGTGGGAGGTGAGGGGGGAGGGTGGAGATGTAATGTGCTACTTGGCACACTGTTGGCTCTGCTCGGCCCGAGGTCGGTGGGAACCCAGGAGCCTCAGGAGGGGGTCAGAGGTCAGGCTGAGCGCTGCGGGGAGCGTTGGTATTCAGGGCCGGGGGGGGGGGG